AAGACGGTTGGTTTAATTACTATTGGAAAATGCTTGTCATTCCTCTGTAGCATCTGGTCCCCACTGGACCCTCATCATTTCCTTCACCTGCTCCCCCCACCGACCAAACTGCAGCTCTGCAACTGCATCCTGGCCCATCCTCACCCTTCTGCCCCCACCCTCACCTCCTTGTACCCCCAATATGTTTTTCCCAATAAATGAATTTCAAAATCTAATACTTCACACAGCCAAATTTTTATTATGTTTAATGAAGATGATTGTAACCAAAACTGTCCAAAAAAGTCAGAGCAAAGAAAATTGGTTCAAATCTAAGCCATTTCAGTAATGAAATATTTGAAAGAAGCTTAAGGAGCTGTGACAGGCAGAAAATATGGAGGGGAAGTTGACTTACATTTGGTTTCCACAGGTTCTTGCAGCATCTGTCTTTACTGAGAAGAAATTCTCATACTCTCCTTGAGTTTGCCAGGCAACAGGCCCCACTAGAAGTCAGTGGTTGTTATAGTTCCAATTCATACTGACTCAGCAAATAGCAGAATGAAACACTGCCTTCTCCTGTGCCTTGCTCATAACCAGAGATAGTTTGTCCATTGCTTTAGTCACTGTATCAATCCAACTTGTCTTTCTCTTTTTGACTGACCCTCTCTCTTACCACGTATGATCTCCTTCTCCATTTATGTCGTCGTTGTGAACTGATCCATAGCTCACCCACTCGTGGGTTTTCAGAATAAATAACACAGAGACTGTCCATCTTTCACAGAGCGCCTGGTGGATTCAAACCGCATTAACTTTGTGTTGACAGCACAATTCCTTACCACTAAGCCACGAGAGCTCTCTTCCCCATTTACTGTCATAGTATACAGAATCCATATGTTTGTTCAACTAGAAATGTCATTCTATTTTGCAAGCAGGATTGAAAACTACTAAGGGAACAGAAAAATACTGAGAAAAGTCAAGGATGATTGTAGTTACTTTGTGTTCCAACTTCAGCTGAGACAGAAAAAAATGTTAAGGATTTTTTTGCTAATGTGAGATTGCCTTTTTTTTGTGGTTACCCTCCTAGAATGAGATGTTCGATTCTCTCGATAATGATACTGTTTATTAAGCACTTATTATTGCTGCATAATGTATCAGGCTACTTAAGGACAGTAGCCTGGAACCACCAGCTGCTTCAAGGAGACAGATGGGTAGCCTCCTTCCATAAAACTTGACAGCTTCAGAATTCCCATGAACGGGAACTATGAGTTGAAACCAACTCAAGGGCAGTGGGTTTACTTTTTGGTTGATTGTTGTTATTGTCATGGTGTCAATTGTGACTCGTGGTGACCCCATGAGCACACAGCAGAACTACTTCATTGGGTTTTAAGGCTTAACCACTGGAGGCAAAGCATCACGTTTGCTTGAGCTCAAAAGGCTGACTTCTAGATAGTCTAAAAGTATTATATTTTAGGGCATTACTTTTATCGTAGGAGTACGCAATGAGGGTTGCAGAGTGGATTATATTTGGGGCTAGGGGGTGGGGTTTGGGGAGGTGCAGGGGGATTGTGTACCAATGAGGGAGTTTTTCTTCTGCTTTTCAAGAAGAGGAGCAAAGGGGGGGG